GATTTAAACTGTGTTTTGAGGTAGGGTCACTGGACCCAAAACGTTAGCTCCCTTCACAGATGCTGCCAGACCTGCTGAGCTTTTCCAGCAACTTCTGTTTTTGTTCCTGATTTACAGCATCTGCAGTTCTTTATTTACTGAGATTTAAACTATTCAGGTGCCCGGGAAATGAGGGTTAAAGTTTGCTCCTGGGAACAGTCTTCTAGAAAACTGCCACAGGCGAGGGAGTGGTGCAGTGTGAGGCTCAGCACCAACTAACAAGGTGACTCCGCTCAAATCACGGCAGGGCTTGTAACGTTCCGTTATGTTAATCCAAAAGATTGAATAAGACCCGATTAACCAGAGAGCTTTTATCGTGAAAGTAGAAGACTCTGGAAATGGTCTGGAGCAGCTGTGGTGAGACGCAGTCATGTGCACTTTAACAGAAGTTTTAAGTTTCCTGCTGTCTGTCTTTCGAGGTGATGCTAGAGTTTGGTGACTAGTCCATTCTTGAGGGTTCACGTCTCTCCTGCCCCAGACATGTCATAACGTAGCTGGACAAATGACAATCCTTCGTGTGTTTTGTGTAGACGAGGGGATCTCAGTATTGCTTTCCTTTCTAAAAGCTTTTAATCTTGTACTCACTCGTCCCAAAGCCATCAATTCAAAATCAAATCTGGAAGGTCATAGCCTGACATACATTCCCTCTGGACCAGCGCCCAAGTAATACAAAAGGACGTCCCAGCTTCAGCTGCCGCTAATTAGTCCTGTTATTAATGACTGTGGGAAGCTTGAGGTCATCTAACTTTGAGCCTGTTTCACTATTAATAGGTGGGGTGTTAATTTGGAGATTAATTCTATACACTTTGTTCACCTGGTGCTTCAGTACCTGTGGTGAAATGGGAATGTATGTCATTCTAAAATAAGTGTGCCCCCTTTTTACCTGAAACATACATAGCTAAAACATAACCATGAAAGAAGCTATCAAAGTAAACCATGTTCCACTCTCTTGTGTCCTTCTTATATTCTGTAGACTTTGTGCTGCCCATTGATAACAGAAGGCCTCGAGTGTCTGCTAGTATATGATTTATTGCATATTGTCCAAAATGTTTTAATATCCACTGATTCTAGTGACTAAATTTGTCACTCCATCTGGTAGCTGTTTCAGATTCTCCTACAATGGAGATGGTTGATATGTTCAATGTTATGTTTCTACCCCAGAGGTAGGGACATGACTACTGTTTCATAAAAGCCTTCTACATACATGTATAAATAAGTGGGTGTGAAGTGATCTTGTTTTGGTGAATTGATAATTAGTCTGATTTAGGTGTTGAAACCTCCTATTGAAATGAGAATAAATATCATCAGTTCTGACTAGCCTGGTCCAAGTTTTGGAATAACAATTAAGCAATCAGGAACAAAAACAAAGTTGCTGGAAAAGCTCAGCAGGTCTGGCAGCATCTGTGGAGGAGAAAACAGAGTTAACGTTTCGGGTCCGGTGACCCTTCCTCAGAACTGTTTTAACTCTGTTTTCTCCTCCACAGATGCTGCCAGACCTGCTGAGCTTTTCCAGCAACTTTTTTTGTTCCTGATTTACAGCATCTGCAGTTCTTTTGGTTTTTAATTAAGCAATGAGGTCACCTCCAGAAAAAGTCAATTGTTTCAGGTGATGAGTGAGTGGCTTGTGAAGGATAATGGGATTTTTCACCAAAAAATCAAATGGCTGCATGAAGTAATTTTGAGATTTACTACAGATATGCACTATGTTCAAGCTATACCTGCAGCTGCAACATTTAACTAGCAAATTAGAGAGCAGAAGTCCAATAACAGTTGCCTGATGGCAAGGAATGATAACCAGTATTTTGCTAATGTGCAAGCTTTTAACAAGTATTAAACCCATGCTACTGAAATTGCATTTCTTCATGGCTATGAACTTGGTAAGTTAAATTCAAAAGATACAGTTTTCAGCAAATGAAACAAACTTAGTTTCATTCACCCACCCAGTTGTCAGTGAACCATACTGGTTCATGGTATTTGCCTCTAAGCATATTTGAGATATTTCAACTGATTTCAATTAAAATGAGATAGCTACTGTCCAAAGAACTGTGATCCAATGAGATTTCTTTCTCTAGCTGAACCAATAGTCCGTGGAGAGCTGACTAAATTGCCTGAAGGATCTATCTTCATCTACTGTCAAATCGGTGACCGGCCATAGTAAGTCATTTGTGTTTTTAAAATGTCAAAAAATTTGCTTCCATTTGTTAAAAACATTCACTGAACTGAAAACCCAGTTATATAATATTTTAAAAGCATAAGTTGTCTTAGATAGTGTTGTTAGATATTCCGGAAAAGTACTGGGATAAATAAATTACACTTAATTTATTATCATTACATTGCCTAATTAGGATTACATCTTTACTGAGATTGGACTCCTAATACAGATACTACTTATTTCTACCCAATTTAAACTAAATTATCAATTGATTTCTTCCATTATGAATAGTAAATTGTTAGTCCTAGTTATCCAATTGAATAGACTATTACTATTTGGTATCTTTTGTATAATGATGGAAAAATTCTGCTGAATGAATGAGATTTGAAAGATGGTGTATAAATAACTTTTTTCCCTTTGCAAAATACTTCAGAATCAGGTTAGCTTTGAAATTGCTGGATGAAGTTTAATTTTTTTAAGCTAAATGTATTATTCTCCACTTGATGGAACGTAGTGGTGGAAATCTGTTATGGTTTTACATTTGAACCAAGATGAATGATATTGAATTGTTTTGATGTGTATCTGAACAAATGCCAATCCTTTCTCTGTTTTATGGAGACACGATGGGCTGAAAATATTGCTATGTTCTAAAACTTCCAACCATGCATTCACTTGCCCCAAAGACTTCAGATTTTTTTTTGGATTTGTTTTTGAACCGAAGGGTCACAGCCTGACATTCACTCCTTCAGCAACCGATCCCTCTGGCCAGTTCCCATGTAATCCATGATGTCCCAACTTCAGCTGCCACTCATCAGTCCTGTTACCAGTGACTGATGTGTGAAGCTTGAAACCACAGCTTCATTGCCCAGAATAATGGCTCAACAAACTGTCAGATGAAAGGTGATGTCAGACAATCAAACAATTCCAGTGCACAACCTACACAAAGTAATATCAAAATTAACCAGCCAAATCATTCTGGCAATCTGAATGGCCAGCTTTGTAGAATATAGTAATGAATGCATCCTTTGGCACCTCTGATGCTTTTGACAAAGTAACACATTTGTTTATATTCATTGTCTCTGACCAGTTGGAAGGACCTTGAAAATAAATTTCGAACAGTTCTGAAAGTGAATGCTGTACCAACTCTCATGAAATATGGCACAGTGAGTACAGATTATTCCTTCAAGGCCATTCTTTCTCAGTTTGCTACTTTATTGTCCAGATGGGACTTTCTAAGATACAGCTGAAAACAATGGAAACTTAAAGATGTTTGATACAATTCATGTAGCTCTTAAGTGAAATTTTTATTGCACTATTTTGGATTTTTTTAATCTTGTTGTTTGGATACAGAATGGATTCTCTTCAGGTCATTTGATAGATGTTGTAATGTTTGAAATTTCATCTTGGAAACTTTTAGGTGTTTTTTTTTTATTAATCCTCCATAAAATTCCTGCATAGTTTCCATGTTTGTACTGCTCTTAAAGAATTTACAGGATATTTTTGGTTGCTTTTCCTGTTGCACATGCATATCAAGGATGTTTATGCTTGATCAGATTCCTAACAGAATTGACAAATGAGATCAATGGGTAGAGATGGACAAAATGACAAGACTTTAGTCTAATAAGCTCATGCCAACTCCAAGAGGCCCCTCTACTAAAGGGAATGATTTCTTACTACTACGTTGGTCATTTTATGCACCTCAATCAGGTCCAACTTAGCCTGCTCTGGTCTAAAGTCCATCTGTCGCTTCATAGCTGAAGCGCTTCAACCCATGCAACATCCTCCGGAATCTCCTCTGCATGCTGTGTGGAGTAATCACTTCCTTCCTGTGGTGTGGCAAACAGGCTACAGCTGGAGTACTAACACAGTTCCATCATACCCTCCTTTCTCTTGTATTTATTTTTCTTGTTTTGCATAATAAAAGCAAGTATCCTATCTGTCAACATAACAACCTTACTAATCTGTCTACAAGGATCTGTGTACATTTACACAGTGGTCCCTCTGATAGTCTGTACTTCCTAGTGTCCAACCATTCATCGTGTATGTCCTTGAGTATGTATGCAACACCTCACTTTTTTCCAGATTAAATTCATTTTGCCCCACTGTTTTGCCTATCTGACCAGCCCATTTATATTGTCCTGTAGTCTGACTTTTCCTTCCTATTTACTACACCAAGAATTTGTCGTCCATGAATTTGCTAATCAAATGTCTGTGTTTTGTCTAATGTACACTACAAACAGTAAAGTTCCCAGTACCAAATCTTGCAGTAGCTACTGTACACAAGCTTCCAGTCACACAAACAACCTTCCTCTGTCTCCTGTCACTAAACTAATCTTGGATCCAATTTGTTCAATTGCACTGTATCCCACGGACTCTTGCCTTCTTTGACCAGTCTCCCAATATAAGACCTTATCAAAAGCCTTGTTGGTATATGTAGACTGCACATTCACCTCCAAGAAAAATCAAACCTGTCAGATGTGATCTTTTGACAAAGCCACAATAACTATCCTTAGTTCTTCTCTTCCAGGTAGAGATTCTGTCCCTCCAGAAACTTTTCCAAAAATCGCTCTACTACTGATTAGTCTACTTGTTCATAGTTCCCTGGCTTATCCCTACAACCCTTCTTGAATAACGGTACTATGTTCTCTGTCCTTCAGTCCTTTAACAGCTCTCCTGTGGCCAGAGAGGATTTTAAAATTAAAGCTGGAGGCTCTGCAATCTTGCCCCTTATCTCCCACAGTAGCCTGTGAATTTATCTAATATTAAGCCTGCTAAAACTGTTAATACTAGCTGTCCCTTAATTATAATTTGTGTATCACAATCCTCCTCCCTGATTTTAATACCTCCATCATCTTTCTCTATCATGAGTACAAAATTTAAAGTTTAAAATCTCACCATGTCTTCTGGCTCCTTACACAGTTTCACTTCCAGATGGACAACTATTCTTTGCCTGATTAAACTGATACTGTACTATACATAATGCCTTTGGCAGGCCAAATAAAGGAAAATCCAGTGCTCTTTCATGCTCCCTCTTTTAGCTCTAAGTTCATTTTTAAACAAGCCCTTGCCCTAAAGCATTTAGAAAGTGCTTCTGGTGTTTAGAACTCATAGTATCTACCAAAAGCTTCCCTTCTATCATCTTACCCAATCCTGTGCATTCCTTAACATCCAGGTTTCTCTGCTCTTCTCCCACTGTCCACCTAATGGGAACATAATGGTCCTGCACAATCTTTTGTTTTGAAAGACCTCCACTATTCTGATGTAGAAAAAGCTGCAAATAGGTGCTCCTATTGGCTAGATTTATGTATTTTAAAATTGTCTTGCTTCCAGTTCAGAATTCTTTATTTTCAGTCCCCTTTTTGTCCTTTTCCATGACTACCTGTCAAACATAGCCTGCCTTTGGGTTCCTGCCTTTTGATTAGCATGCTGTTCATTACCTCCACTATCTCTGCTTATGTTTCTTTGTTAAATTCCTCTTTCCTGGTTGAACAGTAATGTGAATTCATTCAGTATTTTGACCTGGCCTCACTTGTATTTATCACCACCTTCCTTTTCTAGTAGGAGCTATTCTACCTCCTAGTATCACTATTTACATATTGGTATGTTAACTGTCACTTCTATTCCTACAATTGTTGGAGAGAAGCAGCAAGTATTTCACTTTTTTATTTGAAGAACACAGCTGGCATTCATCAGATGCCCTTCATTGTTTTGTCATAATCTCTTTCCCTTGTTATCCAAGAAGCTTTTTTTTTTTGTTCCCTTCGTCTTCTCCAGAATATTAATGCCATAGGAAGGTTACTTGAAAGAGCACTAGAACAAAGCAGAATTTAATTGCTCTGAAACATTTTGAAAACTTTGACATTTTTCACTGGATGAATGTTCAATTTCACAAGGGTGTGGACACTGCATTGTTGCAAAGACCAAAACAAAAGGTTAAAACATTTTAAAATTAAAATTTAAACCGTAAAATGCTTTTGCTAAACATGGCACTTTCAGATGGTACAAAAACTGAAGCTGTAGCAATAATTCAAAACAAGCAGTATAAAGAAAGCAAAAACAAAGCGAATTCTTTAGCAGAATTGCACTTTTTTTTCTTGATTCTGACTACTTTAAACCATGTTATAGCAATTTTTTTCTTGTTAAAATTAAATATTTTAAAATTGTTTTTATGACAAAAGTTGGTGCTAATGCAAAACTCTTAACCCCTTCAATTTCCAAACTTATTCTTGTTTCAGTCTCAAAAGCTGGTAGAATCGGAGCTGTTCAAGCCAAATCTTGTGCAAATGCTGTTCTCGGAGGATTGAAAATTTCCTACTGTAACAGTTAATCATCAATGTGAATGATGTGAGACATCTTGATTTCCATCAAAAGTTATACAAAGTCAAACTGAACCATGTTTCTAATTTGACAGTCTTCAAGCTTCAAGTGTAAATGTCATTGGCAGCCCTTCGTTAGGTTTCATTATTTGCAGACAATTAGGGTATGCTGTTGTGCTAAATTGTTCTTGAAACCCTTTGAAATGTTTAAGGATAATGCATGAAACGTAATGTGCCATCTTAATGAATTGAGTACTTAGATTTTGCTGATAATGTACAAGATTGTAGAATGTATTAAGGCATGAAGGTTAATGATATTTTGATAACCATTGTCTTTGAATTCTGAATTTAAAATGAAATTGTTCAACTCGAGTTCCAAAAATAATTTTTTTGTTTTTTTTTGGAAAAAGGCTCATTGAAGACTCCACACCAACAGTTTTACACTTAACTGAACATGTATTTCAAAACATAAACAATGGTTCCTTGGAGCAGAATTTTTACAGCATTTTTCTACACTTAGCCCTTACTTAATTTGCTTGCAATACACTTTCTAATCTGCAAATTAACTTACCTGCAATACACTTAAAGGGCCAAGCAAATTTTAGAGACATGGAACTTTATTAAAAGTTCAGAGAAACTAGTCCCACTGCCCAAGGATGGATAATAGAAGCATCAATTTATGGTGACTTAAAAAGTGTAGGCAAGAGATGTAAACTGCTGCACTAGGGTTAGGCTTTGGAATACACTACCTGCTTGGGTGGCTAGACTGGATTGAGTTCACTAACTAGCTAATAAGTAGACAGAAGCTGGGAAATGGAAACTAAGTAAACAAATTTAAAATGTCATCACTGCATGTGACATATCCCAGCCCCCTAGATCTGGTTTGAACAGTGCCCTATGCAGTTATAAACAAAATCTCTGCAACAAGGGGCTAATATTCTCTAGAACCAGTTCCTGAATGGAATAGCCCTAAGTCGAACATTTTAGTGGAGTTTTGAGACGTGGGTGACTTCCTGGTGCTCATGAATGTACTGATGGCTTCCTTCAACTCAACCAATGGAAAAACAGGAATGTTTTGGTACCTCTGTCAGCTAGGGGCTGTATAATTTATCATTTGCGTGCATCTTAAATTACTCCAAACTGCCCCAGCATCATTTTTTAAAAAAAAAAGCTGCCAAGTAATGAAATATACCAAGCAAGTTCACAGTAACTTGAAGACTGGGTCTTATTTGAATTCAGGTCTTCAACAGAAGGAATACTTAGACTTCTAAAATTAAAGCTTTATTAAAAATAGTTTAAAATTTTGATAGTGTAAAATTACAATTGTTAATTCCTGTTAATGCTATGAAGTGAAATTAAATTTTGTATATTTCAAAGCAGCAAGAAAATCAAGTCAGAATATATACAAATATTTTTCTCCTCTGTTTTATTCTTTGGTTTGTGAACATTCCACATGCAAGTTCACTTCCTTGGGGCCAATGACTTCCCAAGCTTCAGCAGTGGTGGTGGTTGGTGTGGTGGTAGTTGATGTTTTGGCACTGTTACCACGATAAAGAAATCCAAACCTGTAGGAACAAAATTAAGTGTGCAACAGGAAACCAAATCAGCATACAGAGGATATCACCATCATCTTGTTCTCCTAATTATCAAATTCAGATAGAAACAAACAGCAACATTGTAGAAAGTAGTTTACTCCATAGGGTTAGAGCTAGTTATGTTCTTTTGTAGTAAGGGCACAAGCTCCCTTCTTCATATCACACCACCCCTCCCTTCCCAATTGATAAATTGAAGTACTGAGTGGTTAAATTTCTCCTTGATTGACAAGGGAGAATAAAACTTTCATATCAAGATGGTGACTGTAGCAGAAACTCATTACTATCATCAGCATTTCTCAAAGGTATAAAATGTCGTGGCTTGTAAAGACAGAATCACAACTGAATAGCACACTGTCCCTACGTTTGAAGTTTCAGAAATGTTAATGGAAAAAGGAAGAACTTTAAACACGTATCAGACAAATTCTTATTTTCATTCCACCTGTGTCTTTCATTGCAAAGAACTTGCATGTCTTATTTTTATTTAAGGCCATGAAGGTTTATCCCCTTTAAATGATTACTACCGGAATAGCCTCGGGCTGCAAACTGTTAATTATATGCTTCCCATCCAGAGCTTGCAGTTCTTTCATCTTATACACGTGGCTTTGAGTTTTACTTTCCGGGTTGTTGAGTGTGGTACTTAGAAAACAAGTCAAGAAAATCCCAGCATGAACTCCTTTTAGGGGGCTGAATTACCCAATTTCAGAAAGGCAAATGTAACCATACAACAGCAAAGCACAGTATTGTACAGTCTTAGGGTTGAAAAATCTGCCATTTCCTTGCTCTGTATATTCATTTAACCACTGGTGAGAAGTCCACAATATATTTCAAAATATTTGGATGTGATTACCTTTAATGCAAATTTGTACTTTGGATACTACACATGCAAGCACAAAGAATGTGAAAGTTTTTTTTTTAAAGAAAGGATTGCTTTCATTGTAGTAACAACTTAAGAGGAAAAAGGAGAGACAGAAGTGGAGAGCAGTCTCTCTTCTCCACAAATGTGAATTAAAGCACAGGAGCCCATATCCAAACTACCCAACACTTGGACTCTGATCAGCAATAAGAAGAGCTGCAGTTTTAAAAAAAAAAAAACAGCTTTATACAGGGTAGTTAGTAAAAAAAAAAAAAAAGCAGTTATGCACATTCCACTATCCAGTTTAAGAATTCTGGTGGAAGTCCAAAAAAAAAAAGCAGCAAAATGCTGCTGCTAATAAATTTAAAAACAAAAAAAAACTACTCTGGTCAGGCTACAGTTATGGAGAAAGTAAATTCAGGTTTCATATTTGAGTATTATGATAATCTGGTTTGGACTAAAAGTTATTGACTGGAAATGTCAATCAATCATTCCTTGAAACCATAGATACTTTATGAAAAGGAAGCTTGCACATCCGGCTAACGTTCATACAGATAATTTGATAACATTTTAGTTTTTACATAAGCTTAAGTGGCTTGAACATTTTACTTCTTCATTCAGGAAGTCACCCAACAGAAAAGTTGAAGGTCTCCGCAGATGGATGACAAATTTGAAATTGTCTTGGCTCATTCAGCAAGTGGTATGTCTGGTAATCATACTATAATTTATTTCCTACCAAGCCAGACAAATCCAGAAGGGCCACTGTCCAGCAGAACCCACCTGAATTGCACGTGACAACTGGTCGTGGAGGGACATTGATGGCTGATGTGGGAGAGTCTGAGCTCCAGACCATCCCACCCTCCCAGATTGAGAGGGATGTGTGGAAAAGGGTGACCTGTAAAGTGAGGGGTACATTGTGAATGGGAAATACTTAGAAGCTACTTTATTAATTATTCAACAAATAATTTCCATTAGTATTTGCCTAAAAATTAAAACTCAGTGGTTTTCTCAGCTGGAAGAAAGAGAGATGGGTAAGGTTTTGGCCAACAAGTACAATAATTTGAATCCTCTCGAATGAGCATTGGTGGATGGTACTTCAGATGGTGCAATGTTCTCTCACTTCTACACTGAAGTATCAGCATAAATTATATGTGTCCAGGCCTTGGGAGTAGAACTTGAGCCTGCAGCCTTCTTACACAGACAAGGGTGTTACTTGCTGAACCATGTCAGGCACACAGAAACAGGAAGCAATTTTTGCAAGGCTCTGTTCCCAGCTTTATTAATGCATTGGTTAGGAGCATGGTCAGGGGGAGAAGAGCTTGCCTGTGATTAGGTTTTTGCCGCAAGCTGCTTTTCCAGAAAAAAAAGCAACACTTCTCACTTGACACAGAGCTTCACAGAATTAATCCTTAAAGTACTAAAAAACATTGTGACCCTTTGGATTTGTTTGAGTGAATAAGGTTGCCAGTGATCAGTCTCTTGATTAGGGAATGTTTAGGCCTCAGGCCTGTAAATTATGTAGATTGTACCTAATTTAAACAAAAGGAAATTTCTCCTGGCAAGGGAAAAGCAAGAACAATGGGAATACAATTTGTAGGATATATATGTTTTAGGTGAAAGAGGTGTGTGATTTATACATGGTTATTTTGGAATTTGCTTTTTAGGCTTGTGACATGTGTGGTGATTTTTAAGTTCCTTCAAAAAGTAAGGCAACTAAGTCATCTTTCCAGGACAACAACTTTAAATCAGAGTTTCTAGGAGTGTTAATGAAAGTTCATTTATACCTTGGGGAGTTACGACAGGAGACAGGAATGAGAAACGTTAGGCCATTAGCTGTAGCAGAATCTAGGATGAGTAAATTTCAAAAATGTATTTAAAATACTTCTGGGTTCAGTCTGAGGGAGACCTGATAGAAGTCCAAAGCAAAACAACTCAAGCAGGACAGGACAGGCCCATATGCTCAAAAGCAAAGCACAATCAGATATCTCCCTGTACTAAGGGACAGAAGATTTAACTAATTATGATCCAATAAAAGTGATCTTTTTCAAATGAAAAGAAACATTAAACCATTAAGACATGCAGCTGTGCAGCTACAGATACATCTACAGAATTAACCCCAGTGTTATGGCACTGAGGTTTTTAAGGAAGCTGCTTTTGCAGTGGTGCATAATTGGTTCCACCAATCCCATTGACATATTGGCTGTTCACCAGGGTGCTTTTCTATTATTCATTCACATAGAATGTATTTGAGAGGTGCAGAGATAAATTCAAGCAGATTAAAGAGTAACAATTTTCTAATGCACTTTAAAGAACCAGAAACAGTTCTAAATAATGTGCAAAACAATAAACCTAGAAGAAATGATTATGCAGTAATCAAAAACAAAAATTCAAAAATGACAAAGATTTTTAAATCGTCATGAGCCATACTCAATAACTATCCTGGCCATAGATCTGATAAAGATGTAAGAGATTATGATGGTTATGGACAGGGTGAACAGGAAGCAGCTGATCCCCTTAGGTGAAGGGTCAAGGGCAAGGGGACATAATTTTCAAAAGGTGATAAGGCAGGAGGTTTGAAGGGGATTTAAAGGAAAACTGTCTTCACCCAGAGGGTGGTAGTAGTTTGGAATGCATTGCCTGGGAGGGTAGTAGAGGCAAGAGCCTCACAATTTTTAATTACTTGGATGAGCACTTGAACGGTCATTACATTTAAAGGACCTAGTATAGTGTATTTGAATGAAGCCTTCCAGACAGAAGCAAGCAATAGGTACTGGCCAGCTGCTGGAAATACTGCTAGAAGTTAAAAAGGACAGAGGCAAAGAACAGATTCCATTACATGAATGGATTCATCTTTCTCTACAATAGAATGCCAGATTGGGGAAAAATAACGTACAGAAAAAAAAATTTTGCAGATTGAGCTTCAC